AAGGACAGGAACAGGGAGCGGGGCGGGCTTGGGCAGGAGGAGTGGGTGAAGGGCAGGAACAGGGAGCTGGGGCGGGCTGGGGCAGGAGGAGTGGGGTGAAGGGACAGGAACAGGGGAGCTGGGGGTGGGGCTTGGGGCAGGAGGAGTGGGGGGAAGGGGCAGGAATAGGGGAACTGGGGGGCGGGAGTGGGGAGAGCTGAGGGAAGTTGAGGGGGCACGTGATGGGGGACGAGGCTCGAGTCAGGTGATGAGGGAGCGCTCAGGTGATGGGGTAGCATCCGGTGTGGGGTTTGGGGAAGCTGGGGGCAGGGCAGTGAGGAAGGAGTGGGGGTCAGGGGAGCTGGGGGCAGTCAGGCCGGGGTCACCTGAGAGGAGGATCTGCAGAGGGTGCAGTGCTCCCTGTGCCCCCCAACCACAAAGCAAGCTGGGGGACACTGTGGGGGCGGGATGGAGACTGGGGGACATGGGGAGGAGGACGACTGGGCCCTGGAGAAGGTGCAAGCAATGACAGAGCAGGAACCACCCCCGGCCTGGCTCTTCTGGGGCCAGCAGGAACGCCTTAAGGCTGGGGTGGGGGGCAGAGCTCCTGGCGCGGGGGCGTCTGGGGATCCCAGCCATGACTGTCAGAACCAGCTGCCTTTTCACCAATCCTCCTGCTGCCAGATGCGTGGGCCTGGGCCCACTCCCACAGCCTGGGGCGGAGCCGAACAAGGGACCAGGGAGGAGAAACACAGCCCCCGGCCTCTATCTAGGCTTGCCAACCCTTCAGGTTTGGCCCGGAGTCTCCCGGAATCGGCATCGATCTCCCGGTGACGATTGGAAGCAATCCGGGAGATTGAGCACCCTGCCGTGTCATTCACGCACGTTGACCGCCTCTGCAGCCCGCCGGCCAGCGTTTGGCACGGTGTCGCTGACTGGGTCCGTCCGAAAACCCCCGCACGGAGCCACTTGCAGAGCACCTAAAGTAATTTGACTTCTGGACCGTCTGAGTCACATGAGACCCCAACTAGTAGCCGGGTGAGCCAGAAAAGACCCTGGACTTGCCCTGAGCTGGACACCAGATCCGTGCCTTTGGCAAATCCCACCTTTCAGACAGTCACTGGCCGGTTCCCACCTTGTTCTGGTGTCAGAGCTGCGGGAGGAACCAAATTCGCAAGAGGGCAGCGTGGTTGCATCAAACAAGCCCATGGCACCCGCTAGCAGCAACTGCCGGGCTTATCCCAGGCTCACTGCGCCTGCCTCCCACTCCAGAGGGAAGCCTGGCTTTTAAAATGCAATGCACCTCTGATTTCTACACGGACTGGGCCGTGGGAGGCTGGGCCTGAGGCTAAACGACTCTTCCTGTGGATCTGAATTTTGTATTGTTTAGGCTTTTGGTAGTTAACCGCTTCTGCAGTGCACACCTGTGAGCTTCACAATGCAGCCCCAGGGAGCATCCCCTGGTGACAGGTGTCTTAGGTGTTTCTCATAAGAACATAAGAACGGCCGTACTGGGTCAGACCAAAGGTCTATCTAGCCCAGTATCCTGTCTGCCGACAGTGGCCAATGCCAGGGGCCCCAGAGGGAGTGAACCCAACAGGCAATGATCAAGTGATCTCTCTCCTGCCATCCATCTCCACCCTCTGACAAACAGAGGCTAAGGACACCATTCCTTACCCCTCCTGGCTAATAGCCATTAATGGACTTAACCACCATGAATTTATCCAGTTCTCTTTTAAACCCTGTTATAGTCCTAGCCTTCACAACCTCCTCAGGCAAGGAGTTCCACAAGTTGACTGTGCGCTATGTGAAGAAGAACTTCCTTTTATTTGTTTTAAAT